AAGAGGTTCGAAGATGTATTTGATAGTCTATCAATATCTAAGCCGGCTGGTGGTTATAGGAGCACATCATTCTCACTCATGATCTGATGCGGATGTATGACCAAGTTCGTTAAAATAATATGGACAGCATCGAATGTCGATGACTTGCAGAACTATTGATTTTTGGGATTCATTTGCCACTTAAGAAACGAACCTTACGACTAAGGGTTTTCGTGTAGTCAGGTCATGGCAGCCACTGCCCCCGAGACCTGATGGGTAGATTGAATGATTCCCGGAACACCTTAAATGTGTGGCACACGAACGCCCGAAGTCTTCGAAATAAAACGCCCGAGCTAAGTTTTAAGGTGGATGAAATAAGTCCCGATATAATTGTTTTCACAGAAACTTGGCTCACCACAGACATAGACTGTTCTTTCACCATTGCACGCTACATCTGTACTAGAAGTGATAGAGTTTTAAGTCGCAAGGGGGGAGGCATAATGTCATACGTTGTGGGCCACTTTCGTATACAGTCATTCATATCGAGGAGCATGTTAGTCGTAGATGTAAGGTGGCATGTTGTATAATTAAGTCTAGAAACGGAATAGTATTGATAATAATAATAAATCTCTGCAAGAGCAAGTACACACCATTTTTACAAGCATGATCCACAAATTACAAAATTTGTTGGCTCACAGCATGCTTCCCAACTTGTTAAGTTTATAGTTGTTATAAATTAGACTCGTAGAGCGCTCGCTGTAAACTATGACCTTGGGGAGACACGTCAAGTTTGTTCCAGACGTCAGAAGTTCCATAGCTGTGCCCTCAGAGCAAGATTCCAAAGAAAGAAAAAAGAAACGGCAGAGCAACAAGGCACTTGTATATGAGCGACAAACGTTGCTTAACATTGAAGATGCTACAGATATTCGGAGTTAGACAAGGCTTTAACCATGAAGATGGCACAGGTATTCAGTGTTTGACAATACTTTAACCAGTAACACCTTCTAATATGAATCGTACCCACCAAGAAAAATCAAAACACAGAATCGGGGAGATCGGAATGAGGATGATACAGGTATTCAGTGTTTGACAACGCTTCTACCAGTTACACCTAATATAATTTGTTCCCACCGAGAGAAATCAAAAGACAGAGTCGAGGAGATCGGAAGAGTGTATTTGGCGATAACCAATATATCGGAATTCTCTGATCTAATCTGGCTAGTGACTGCGATAGATGTTGAGCTCAGCGTTACCACACGTGATCTGGTGCGGATGCATGACCGAGCGCCTTCAGCTAGATGAGTCCACTAAAACATATGGTCAGCATCCAATGTCGAAAACTTACAGAGCTAGTTATTTTGGGGAGTTATTTACCGCTACAGGAAGATATATTTGTTGACTGTCAATATATCAAGAATCGTCTGATCTAATCTGGCTAGCGATTGCAGTAGTTGTTGAGCACGGTGTTCTCACTCGTGATTTGGTGTGGATGCATGACGGAGCGCCTTCAGCTAGGTGAGTCCATTAAAACTAATGTGGCCAGCATCCAGTGTTGGAAACTTACAGAGCTATTTACTTCGGGGACTCATTAAACTCTAAAAGAATTTGTAGTAAAACAGACAGAGGTATAATAAATTAGATTAAATTCATATTAAAGTGAAGTCAGATGCTCCATATAAGAGAATGTAGTAATAAAGAACAGTGAGTTGTGATGTTTAACAAGCTCCCATGAAGGAAGGAAAGTCAAGGTTGGTACTAGGAAAGAGGCTTATTAGAAGGGAGTTTACATATAGAAAGTGAAGTGTTAAGAATACCAATAACTATAACTTTTATTGTCTAACTTTTGCTTCCTTTTCTTTTTTTGTCCATCCGATGCCAGCCACACAATCCGAGTTAGCATGTTATAGGTTGTCTTAGTAGAATAGCTAATCCAGCATAAAATTGGAAACATGAGTCTGAGTGGTGAGCGTAGGAAGACAATCTATATCACAGATTAATTGACTTATTCTCAATCATAAAGAGCTTGATACATACAAAATGTTCTGCCCCAAAAATACGGGCGGATTGAAGTCATCGTCCTCACCATCATTGCTTGCTGGTCAGTAACTCTACCCCCCTCCTTTCGTGGTGTTAGGCTCATTTAAGCTTATTTTTGGATATATGTCATACCTCACACAGTCCTCTGTGTTTCACAACCTTTTAGAAAACACTATAAGTACCATTTTTTAGGCTTATCGGGTAGTTACAAGTTGTGGACTGTGGGTAAGGCATCGATGCAGTGCTTCTGTTGACTATAGTATAGTTTGCCAATCAGAGTATAACCTTTAAGAAAGGTATAATGTAGGATAGTTGCTTATTAAAGTGGGCGGAAAAGTATAGTAGTATATGAGTTGTAGATAAGGTAACGAGTGGAGAAATAACATTGATTGCTAGTAAACATAGTGTACAGAAGGGTAAAGAGCTAATAAAGAATAGACAGGAAGAAACTCACACTAACGTGGTGTTGATGTTATTTTATGTTGTCATAACCAGTTGATGGGTAACAGGCTCCATAAGTGCAGGACCAATGGTATTAGGCAGTGGATTGTGCGGTCCTCTTGACTTTTTAGGGTGGTAGTGAGTGTCCCTTAGCGACCGAGCTTAGTTGAACAGTATCGATAGGTCCAGTGAGTTATCTGTCTACTTGAAGTGAAGAAATATGGTGGAAAAAGTAAATAATCCAACTGCGAAGTAGGAAAAATAAGGCAAACTAAACTTGATGTTCAGTTTGTTCTGGGCATATAGAGAGCCTTTGACATTTATGTACCCATAAGATGTTTGTGAATAATAATAATAATAATAATAATAATAATAATAATCTGATTCTTGTCAACGGGACATTCATCATTTAAGTGTGAGTATAAAAAAACCCGGGGTATATGTAAAAGACCACAGTTAAATCATGTACAAATTACGAACGACACTTTGCCTATAATAGCCGTACGTGTCCGAAACGATGATTTTTTACGTTAGACACAGAACAAAATGTAGTGATGGTATTACCGCACTACTGTTACACGAAAGTTGAGATTTACTAGCTGAATCAGATCGTGCAAAGGCTGGACTTTTCTCAAAATATTTTAGCGGAGTCTAATCCACCTGTATTGTTACAAATACTTATCCCAATCGCACCGAGATCTCAACCACAGAATCTGAACATTTGACTGGGGAAACTATTCTTTCGTCGACAACTAACCTCAAACCTTGTAAGGTACGAGGAGCTGACGGGTTACATCCACGACTGCTGTTATCTCCTGCGGACATTATGTCAAGACCTCTCGCGATGCTCTTCAAAATGTCCTAATCATTCGCTGAACAGATTGGGAAGACGCTATAGTCAGTCCTATATTTAAAGATGGTCAGAGGCAAATCGTAGATAACTATCTGCTTGTCAGTCTAACTAGCACAGTCGTTAGGTTCCTTAAAAAGATAATTCGGGCAAGATTGCTAAGTCACATAGATTCACACAATCTCTTAACTCCTGAGCAGCATGGGTTTCGTAACAAGCATTCATGCTTGACTAACTTACTTATTGAGAGAGAGGATTAGACAGAAGCCCCAGACAACAATCTGTCTGTCGATGTGATATTCATAGACTTTATAAAAGCGTTTAATGAAGTTTAACACTTAGGTCTTATGCAGAAGCCCTCTAGCTTCGGAATAACAGGTGCTGTATATGAATGGATAAACCACTTCTTATGTGATCGCAGAAAGAGAGAGAGTGGGGGTCAGTGGAACACTTTACGAATGCAAGCCTGTCAAAAGTGGTGTACCCGAAGATATTATCTTAGATTTCCTACCTTTCCTTCCCAATGTTGGTGGATTACCGCTATTGTGGTCAAAATCTAGGGAACAATAAGAAATGAGGCTAATCATTTTGATCTTAAACGAATTAGTCAGATGGGTTCGAGGTTAGTGCTTAGAAGTTAATTCTAGGAAAAGTTTACTCATGCATACTGGACACGGTAATAGTTACCATTATAGTATTGATAGTACATCTCTTACACGCGTTCGAGAACATAAAGACTTGCGAGTAATAATACGTCACAACTCAGAAACAACTGCGTAATACAACGCAGCTGCTATCAAAGGTTTTCGTGAGTTATGGTCACTTCGCCGAACATTCAAATGCTTTGAGATGTTTCGAAGTTTATATCCCATCTAAGTAAGACCGCACTTAGAGTAATATATCCAAGCAGCTAGCCCATGTCTGATAAAGGATAATAACTCATTTGAGTATGTTCAGCATGTGAGAACAAAACTGATGAAGGGCCTTTCCAAACTTTCATACGGTGAGCGCTTAAAACGTCTGAACCTTTCCTCTTTGTCATATCGTAGTTAACATGTCACACGTATTTAGAGTTTGACAATACTTTAACCAGTAACACCTTCCACTATGAATCATACCTAACTAGTCAAATCAAAAGTCGAAAATTTACAGAGCTATTTATTTTGGGGATTTATTTACCTCTACAGTAGGACGCAACGTGACCTTATACTGGTACTTCGTATCTTTAATTATGAGTTAGGTGTTGATATGTCCTATCTTATTGCCCCCTACAGTACTAATAATCTCCGAGTTCATTGCCAGAAGGTTCACAAACCACGATCTAATAAACTTAAATTGTGGTCCCGTTTTTCTCATCGACTAGTCAATGACTGGAACACCTTACATAAACAAGTGGTCTCATCTCCATCAGTAAATATTTTCAAGGGGAAGCCGCACCTTCGCTGAAAGGTAACCTGAAGGGATTAAAATAGATTCACTAACCTACTATCTTTATTACTAAAGACTGAATATGTATTTTCTGAGCAAATAAAAGTAACTACTAAAAATAAAATTTTCATCTAAAACTGGAAATAAACACTAAATTTTCTGCTTTGTAGAAAGTGAACGTACTTAAAGGCTTGTATACAATTTATGTAACAGTTTGCCCTTGAGCTTGTTATTACCGATCACGTAGCGTTAGTTTTACTATTAACTCTTGGCGCGTTGGTTGTTTGCCACGTTATTTTTCGCTTGCTTCGTTTTTGTAAGGCTTAGTTTTTATTTTTAGTTGTTGCAGAATAATAAAGAAGTTTTCATAAAATCGCAACCCTTTTTGTGCATTCAATGCCATAACGATAACTTCATTTTGAAACTTGTGTCACTCTATACAGGTTAATTAAACTTGTGCAAGACTATAATCTATGGACGAACCGATCAGATATGAGATAACAAGTTACAAATTTAGGCGCAAAATGCATCCATACGTATGGCTTAATAGAATTTTGTCACTATAGTTAGTGTCAGTTTGTAAGGAAAACCCTAAATGTAATTTTTAACCCTAACATTGAACTGTGAATGAGGGTTCTAACAGCTTTATAACCCTTTTTTAATACTAATCCGTAGGTTCTCACTCTTACGGTCGGTCTAGGGTCGCTCAAAGGTAGTCCGTGAATAATAATTTCACCTAATTTCGTGATTATTGATCTAAAACGAGATTTCAGTGTGTCTGTCGAAACCATGAGGTTGAGATTGTTCAATGGCGTTGTCATTTATTGAGTCAAATGGTGAATATACCTGTACATGTAGATATATATTCCTAGATATTTTGTCTCCGACAACTAAGTTCTAAGAAATAACATGTTTTAAGGGCTCATGTATTTCGAGTTATAAAGCGATGAATAAATTTTAGAAAACCACTTCTGTTATGTATCTCTATGTACTACATCCTGTATCGTAATCGAGACTTATAACGTTAGATATTGTCGATAACCTCGAAGACTTTTAGCGACTGATGGTAAATTTTCGATCTAAATAGATAACACATGACATGCATTCATATCCCGGTATGTCTTTTGTTTCCTCATAGATTTGTACCAAACATTTTTGAGTTGGTTTATGTGGTAGGAGATGTGTCGACAATAGGTCCCAAAAAGGGCTTGATGATGATACACTAATGTAATCCAGCTCATGTAAATGTTGGATTAATAGGATAATTCAGTAATACAGGGATTCGTATTTCTTGTTTTGTCTACATCTCGCCAGTTTGATTGGTCTTGTTCCGTACTCAGTTACTGTAAAATTCAAATAAAAATACTCTAATTACATGGCGATATGGCTGATACACTTGTGCCGCTACCTGTTAATTTTATCACTGTACTATCTTTAACTAACTGATTAACTATCTTGTTTGGCTTCGTTGATTGTTCTTGGGGTCGTTAATTACCAAGAACTAAATATGCGTCAAACCATTAGTATTTAATCAGCTATATATCACAAACATCTGGAGTATATCCAATGAATTAGTAAATTAGGAAAGTTGAGATTGTTTAGGATTTCCACCCATTTCTCAATATAAGTGATATAATGCAGGAGAAACTAGTTCGTCAATGATCTCAGCGTAGAACTCGATACGGTTGTGTACTGATCTTCAACCCCCACTTCACGTAGAAGTGAGATTTCTGGTTGTTCCACAAACACTAAATCTATCTGTTCCCAGGGCCATGTTTATTACTTGGCGCCTTCGTACACTTTGTTACCTTTATTTGTCATTGTATTCGTATCGACTGTCTTTTCTGGTTGAAATCTAACACTGTGATTAATTGGCCTCTTTCATATAGGCTCGTAGATTGGGTGGACATCAATGCACCTGTTTATTGCCAACGGAATTAAGTGTTTTCCCCACAAAGATTCCCTGGCCGTCTTGGGATTTCTCTTACAGAGAGTTTCGAAGTCTCTCTAGTTAAATTCACGTCCATGATTGTCCACATATGTCGATATCAGTGACACCACATCACGTCTCTCTATTGCTGATCCGTGTTCATTTATGGATAGATGAGGAGGACGTTCAATTTGTCCAGTGTAATAGGTCTCGTAGTTGGTGCAATTTATTTTGTAAATGATGTCCCATTTCTCTTCTTTAGTTTGTTGTCTTTTGGTCTGTATAGAATGAAATAGAGTGGTTGTATTGGTTTGTGGGCGACGGTTATTCCAAAGAGCTTCAGAGCACTTGTGATGATTTTTAAGATGAGTTTCGCAGACGTAGGGCGATCTGTTTCTTGGTTGCCAGAGTTGTATTTTTTTACTTCTGTGATTAGTGTCTGGACATAATTCGTTTTGTATGCTGTTGTAGCTTTCAATACTTGCTTCGTGTACCTTAGTTTTCTCCATAATTGTTTTTTTATGTCCCTCTGTTTACTCTGTTGCTTAAAATATCAAAGAACAAGACCCTGTCTTCTATTTCTTTAATTGTTAATTTGCTGTAATTGGTTAACGTCGACCAGCCTACGAATATTTGCAAGTGATCTCTCTACAGGATAACTAACATGTCGCCTGCGTAACCTCTTCTAAATTGATGTGGTAATCATAAAACTAATCAGAATGTACCTGAAGCCTAGAGTGTGTTGTTTGCCTGTACGTTTACTCATAGGGCTAACCCACTAACATCTTAAGAGTTGAACTTAGAACTTAGTGGGTGGTGGTTGTATATACTGTCTGTAGAGCTCTCGATTACTCAAGAGATGAAATCTTGGGTTGAAGTGGAGATACGTTATCAAACATGCTCATGATTACTACCAGTGTCACCAATTTCGGGGGTAGATCTATATAATAATACTGTAGCGCTGTCGATCGTTTACTCAATAATGTGTACTTTTTCAATAAATTTGTGACTACATTTTATAAAGCCAGCTCAACATAAAATGAAGTTTATGGAATACATTTTTCCTTTCTTTTGCTTCGATACTCTATAGAAACAGTATGGGAAATTTACAAAACTGGACAGTTAGGTGAAAAAATGTTTGACATGAATGCATGACATTTCATAACGTTATACGCTGGCTTAAATCTTGAAATGAAAAAAGTGTTCACGTGATCTAATAGATCATCTTGTTTTATTATTTTGAGCTTATCTCTAAAAACTTAGGGAAGGTCCATATTCATCTAAGTTATAACTTTGGTTCGTATAACCAGATATACATATATCTCTGGTGTTGTTCTTTGTTTATCAGCAAACATCTACAATATATCTGTTTTCTATTTTTCAACCCACCAGTTTACTTCAGCGTGTGATATTAAGATCTTATCTTGCAGTCTTTGGTTCTTATGAACCATGTTGATCCCTGAAGACCAAATATGGATGGTCGTTGTTGGTTTCATAATAGCTTTCATTCTTGCTTTCGGAATTGGTGCAAATGATGTGGCAAATTCATTCGGGACTAGTGTTGGGGCCAAAGTATTAACACTGAAACAAGCTTGTATTCTTGCTACAATCTGTGAATTAAGCGGTTCTGTTCTTTTAGGTAAATTTAGTTTGGTTATATATACACGTGTGTGCTTCTTCAGGTGCTAAAGTTTCCAATACCATACGGAAAGGTATTGTTAGTGTCGAACTTTTTCAAACCATCGACAACGGGCATGTACTCTTGATGGCCGGACAGGTTGCTGCTCTGGGTGGTAGGTCTATGAAAATAGTATTTTTTTCACTATATAATTTTTTCCTGAATTTCAAAAGTAATCAACTACACTTAACCTCTGGTGCTCACAGTTATACATGAATTAAATAAAACTGATAAGATAATAATTCTCCTAGTGATAATGAGCTATTTTACTTTATATATATCAACATTTGCTCGACCGTAGCTGCTATCGATGTGGTGGTCGGACTTGCCTATCGTGATGATTCTACTGAACTATGTCGGCGTGAGCACTTGTTTATTTAGGTCCTTCCATACCAGGGAGGTCGGTTGGAAGATGGTAATACTAAAAGCAGCAATTTAAGGCCCGCGGGCCAGGTCGTACTGCTGACTGTAGTGGGGTGTAGGTGCAGTAAGGTGTTTTCTTCGGACAACCAGCATCTGCATCCGGCGGTAAGGTGTTTTGAAGTGCGAAGCAAACTCGTCAAAACGTCCGATATAGGGCCCGTGCGCAACTGGCCTTAAGCAGTTGTCCCTTGGTCTCTGTGGTCACAATCCTAGTTCGCCAAGACCACCACGAATTCAACATCCTTTTCAGGTCCCTCAAGAAGAAATATCTTTCCGCAGTGTGGGCAATTGGGAAGTGACAACCATTCTAATGCTACTATCAGCACCCGAGATCATCTTATTGACGATCGAACCACCCCTTTATCTCCTAATAATTCTTTCATCCCTATGAATAACCCTTCTCACTTATCTTTATCACCACGCGCCACTAACAATTATGATTTGAGTTCACAAAATGTTATTTCTGGTCTCTTGAAACTATGCTCTAAACTATATGTTGGAACTTTTAATATTCGAACCTTGTGTCAGATGAGAATCTCGCACCATCGACGTGTAATGCGTCTCCGAAACACTCATACAGGGTCCAAGTACAGTCATTCATCTGACCACACCTTGTCAGTATAAAGAATCGGGACGATTTGCCCTACAAGTGACTGGAGACCCTATTGCTAGTTCCCGTGGCGTCGCTGGTGTAGGTTTAGCATTAAATTCCAACTTAAAACAGGCTTTCCTAGACTGGATTTCAATAAACATTCGCTTGTGTTCTGTCCGACTAAACGAGACAAGAAGAACTCGATAACCTCATAGATGATATCATCATCACACTAATAAAGTTGTAAGTTCGATTTCGGATCAAACACATCCTGCAAATCTGGACAGACGGTGTACATCTCGAACTCTTTGGGTGCGGTAAACGGACAAAGTGGCTAACTTAGTGGAAGAGGAACTCAAACGACCTAATCTCTAATCCGATGCATTCAGCATCGCCGGTACAGCAGCGACATGGACATGCTCAAATCGCATTATCCTATCTGTACTTTGTCTTCGTGTCAGCTCTGCTCACTTATCTGTTTAATGGATCGTCCCATTATGATTATAATTATCATATTCTCATCATTAAATTAATTTCATATCATCACCTAACGTGGAATTATTATTTTTGTTCGTGCTGACATTGGATTATGACATATACGCAATCATATCACTCACCGAACAAATTATAATTTTATGAACATTCCATTCACGTTATAACATTTGAAACTCACTGGACTATTTTCTATTATTCAATAACGTAAAACTTTCCTGTCTTGAGTGAGTCCGTTCAATTTTTTTCGTGTCATTTTTGCCCTATTTTTACACTCATTTACCATGGGCGAGATCATTTTAATGTTATACCAAACATTTTTCCTTTCGATATCATTTATTATGTCTGTGGATGCCTTTAATTCTAATAAGCCTTTTGCTAGGATATATCATTTTTATTTTTTCTGGTTCAATTATTGTATCAATGACTTAGTTCTTATCTTTCATTTTTGCGGATATATGACTATCACATGTCATATATTTGCGACATATTTACTACCTGCTCATACATCGAATAACTTTCAACCTGCTTAGTAAATTGGCGGTCTAGCGACACGCGTATGCACATAAATCGTCAGCCTAAGCAGTCAAGCAAACCTCCTGCAAGCTGATATTGTCATGGTCGCAGCTACTCCAACTCTGGCAACGGTTAGTAGCTCTATCATAGATAACTTTGGAGTCATACTTCCGGTGGTATGAACTTATGTTTTCGAGATGCAACTTATGTTCATTTACCGCATTTGTACTCAGCAATCGTCGTTTTCTATTTTTCCAACGAAAGTCTAAACCAAACTTCAGCCATTTTTCGTTTAATCGATGACCCTTACTTTAATATCTATACACACACATTAAGTATTCGACGCCACACTGCTAGCCGATTAGTAACGATTATGTTCATCTTGTCTATTCATATACATGTATAACTGCATGTTGCATCATTCATTACCCATAAATATTGTTCGATTACTGCAATTAATACCCTATTTCAGTCACACTGTATATCAGAACGTAGAGTTTAGAGCTAGTCTCTCAAGGATACACTCTTGTTCGTCTCATCCAAGTCATTCTCACTCGCCGTCATCGATAATCAGACGTATTGATATTTTTATTATGCCTTAGTACGGTTTTGTAACAAACGAGGTCGAGCGCATATCCCTCCAACGACATAAACCACGCTAGGCTTCATGATAAAAAAGGAATACGACTCCGCGTATCTCGTCTCCGCAATCACTATTCTGTTCCTTTGGTCATTCTACTAATACATACTCAACGATAACTCGGTGCATCTGGTTATGACTGACGCAAACAACAACGTACGCTAACTTCTCATTTTGCTATTATTATTATTATTATCAATTGCAGTTCAACAATGAATATTACCCATCAATACAGTTATCATTTTACGGCTGGATTATTTTTATCTCACGTGAACTCCATGTATGTAAATTCAAATGCACTAATCGCTACTTACTCTTCTACGGTTTATTAGAATATCATATTTCACTGTTCTTTGTTCCTATATTCAGTCGGCACCACAGACAAATTTCTATTATATTCTGTCCTACTTATTCTCACGGTTATTCCTCTGTCATGCCCATGAACGCTTTATCACTCTGTTTTCACGATATTTTGAATCGCTCATACGAACGTGTTATTCAATTATTCAAACAGTCACGAAATAAATGTTAATTTTTTGTACGCTTAATAATTTGCTCTAATCGCATGCTGACATTCCATTTTTTTTGTCCCCATCTTTGCAATATTCATGCACTTTTTTACATAAGTATGACAATACATCAACCTCTCATGCGACACTATCTATCAGATACAGTACAATTTTTGTTCGCTAGTTATTGTTTTCGAAATCCGCACACATCTTCTGTGTTAATTTCGAAAACAGACATTTTAAAATGAATTTGCTATTTTCTACAGGGGGCTTTGACGTGGCTGGCACTATATCAAGCCCGTATAGCTTATTCTAGCTTTCGGACAGGCCAATTTATTCATTCTCCCTGAGTCACATTTTTGACTTTTTTAATTATTCGCTTATCAACCTTGACCGTTTTTATGTAAGCATATGTGTGTTCATCTATTATTCCACTCATCACATGTCTGTAACCTATTTTTTGTCTGACTAGAAATATTGAGTAACTCTTGGTTAAGTTGATTTAGTTGACATGTCTTCTCCGGTTCGTTTCGCTTCACTCTTTCCTCTTCTCTCCCTTCGCTCCGTCTTTCCGATTGTCTATTTCGATCAACGGTTGTACAAAATATACGTATTTAAAACCCATTCTTGTATTTGTCTTACTATAATTCCGTTATTCACTAATGCGAGTTAAGTCAAGGATTGGCAACATGTATATATCTCGATACAATCAGAAACGATCTAACTGGAATCAGATATAGTGCCACTAGAAGTGTATTTTGCGATCACGGAATATTCAATGTCTGGGTTAGGAATAGAGTACTAGGCAAATATAGGAAATCGATTGGTGATTTAATAAATCTTCATCAACTGAGGTGTTCGGGACATGTATTGCGTATGCCCAACCACCGCCTACCTCGACAGTCGATATTTTCTGGTTCAGGAGTAGGCTGGAGGGAAGCTATGGGGCAGCCAAATCAAAACATGACATCAATCCATGGAGTCACTGACAACTGGATTTAACTAATGTTAATAAGTACTACCTGGTCGGGGGTTGCGTGGTTATCGTAATCAATGGTTGGAGACGTTGAATGACATGGCTCTAAATCGTTTGGAACGGCGCAGGTGCATCCATTCTTTGTCTATTCTGCTAATTTATATTTTCTTTTCGAGTCATATCTTCGATGTCTAATCTTGCCTATTACCACTGATATGGCTACTACCTCTACTATTCTAGGATTTGGCCTGACAACAACTTCATCTCTCTGTGCTATCGGAGTATGGCAACTTGAACCGATGTACATGCGTATAGGTTCAACGTAGTGATTGACTAATATCAACTGTCGAATTACAGTTGTTACCAGACTGTTTAATGTCTTTTGCACAATAAAACATTTGATGGCAACTTTTAAAAATCTTAAATATTTAGTCAGTTTTAAAAAGAGATTTTATTATTCCAAAACAATGACGTACTTATTATAATATTGATAAAATAATTGTCAAATTATTTGTTAGTTTTTATCCTATGTTTGAGTGAAACTGTGTGCAGAATCCAACGTAGTTTTTGTGATTATAGTTTTAATGTCAAGTTGGCACATTTATACTTCACGTTCTTAACAAATATTTACTTTTCTCAAGGTGATTGCTAATTTCCTGTTAAAAAAGTCTTTGTTGTAAAATAATTTGTGACTTATCAAAATTTATTATTGGTTTTTCATTTGTGGTAGGCATATTTTTTAATGCTATTTATTTTTATTTAATAAAAATGAACCCCTTAGATATTTGTATACTTGTTTAGCAAATGTTATGTTCGCTTAAAGCCTGTAGTATTAGGTCTAATGAACTCGTGACAAGCAGTCAAATGTATACATTACTATTATGTATTATTCAATTTTGAACTGACTCTAACATTTTGAGATTATTTCAGGTATGTAATTAGTAGTATAGTAGTTAAAAGATAACTTCTTACAGTTTTCTTAATCTCTATTCTAACGGGTGCATATCAGTTAATTAAACTTGAATATCAAATAATTGAAATTAAGTGGATGTAATTGATAATCAAAGGTTTTTATCATCAGTAAACTGTATTCATAGAATTATACATATACTGATACAGTTTACGGGGATATTCACTATTTCGAGTAACTTTTTTCTACTATTTTCTGTTATATTTGTTTCATTTGTCTATAGGTTCTTGTATTTGGCTTTTGGTTGCTACATTCTTTCGTCTTCCAGTCTCTGGGACACATAGTATTGTAGGTGCAACGATGGGTTTTAGTCTTGTTGTTTTTGGACTCAATGCTATTCAATGGAAAGGACTACTCAAAATTGGTAAGAATTTTTTTCAAATATAGAAATAATGAACATGATAATTATTTTTCTGAATACATTTTTGATAATTTAATGAGAATAAATTATTTAGTAGCGATGTTGTTTACTCGATACTGCAGTAATTATTTACTCGTGTAGTAAAGATTTTAACCCTATATGAATGATTATGATTTCATACGAATTCATAAGTTTGTAGTTTGAGTCCCATTTCAAACTTGAACAGTATAAATTCTACTTGTTAGTAAAGTTTTTATTACCATTTATAAATGTTTAGAAATGTAAGTAATTTGTCCCTTTATGCGTCAAATGCTTAAGCATTGATGCTCCTCACATTATCTTTATGAATTAAACTAGTTTTCTTATTATATTTATTGGTAAAACCTAGTTCCCTTTTAATAAATAAATAATTGCTTAGGTCTAGACAACTAGACATGGCTGTCTATATAATGTACTTTATGTACCTTGATTTTCAATAATAAACTGCAGAGTATTTCGTAAATTTCACTTTGTTGTATTCTTATGCTGGAGCGTAGGATAATCCACATGATTTAGAAAAGCCTAACAGAAAACGGATGATTTAATAAAATCTAGGAGAGATTTTAAATCATAAGACATTCTGATAATTAATAAGCTATAAAAATTACATTATAAAATCTAAACATAGTCTGTTTTTCTTTATTATCGCTTTTTAACTACGTTGGAATCATAATACGTCAAACATTTTTGTCAGTCTGAGGTTGTGGAGATTATTGAGTTTCAATGAAATCACAAACCGATTTAAATCAGACAGTCATCCGAAAATTGGAAGCACTGGACTGCCTTTTCATTCTAGCGTGCGACTCCTAAATAGTGTGTACCCACAATCCCAGAACGGGGATTCGGACCCAGGACTTTCTGTCTACAGAACGAAGGTGATAAGTGTTAGATTTTATATACGTATCACGTTTTGTGTATATGGCTATACGTTTCGGAACAGTTTCTACTGCACACTATGTATATAGTCAAACAGTTTGTTCCTGGATTAAACTTTATTGATGTAAGTGTTTTCCCATGTTAGGTGATCAGAATGAGACGGTATATTTCATCATCTGACTCAACAATGATTGTATGTGTTCACTCAGCTGATTTCTACTATTTATGCAAATTCTGTCACAATGATGATGGTTCCACAAACAACGCAAAAATATAATACACCGAGTTGCTTGAAGTAACGTTTCGCATTTCTATATTTAGAACAAAATCAAATAATAGTAGTCTCAGTTTTTTGAAAACGAAGTTAACATAGATCTATTTTGCAGTAGAATGAGGTATCTAAGATCTGAAGCAAAACTTACATCTGATTTATATTTACAGGAGAACACTAGATACAGTCGTTTGAGTATGATGTCATCGGTGCAAAGATATATTTCGTATTTAATTTTTCTTCAAGTAGTAAAAATTTAATCGTTTCTGACCAGTTTGCTATTTGTTCCATTGTTTATTTGTCCTTCACTTTGGTATTTTAAGAATAATATTTCTTTTCTTGGACAAACATTTCTGTTTGCCTATATTCTTCGTGTTTACTTCAACACTTTTCTCTTTTTGCTCTGCTATAAAATGCTACAATTAGTTAGTATGTATTTATTATTCATGGTTTGATAATGTTGAGTCTTCACCACCTAATTATGAATAGTACTTGCTGTAATTTAAGTGATCACATTGATTGGATGGGAAATCTATATATTCTATGACGGTAGTGATTTATATAATAGTGGACTAAAATAAACTAAATATAATGAATAATCCCAATCCTTGAACTACTGAGCAGTTTTATAATCATAATAATAGTGTTATAAGTAATTTAAAGAAGAAACATGATACTATTTAAATATTGTAACTTACATTGTATTTCTAGGCTTTACTTATCGTTCACATTGGTCTTTTTTATTGAAAGTTACATGACTTTCCCTGTTTAAATAAGAAAAAATACACCTTTTCGAGATTTACTTCAAATTAAAAATACTGTAATCAATTTCGTCATTTTCAGGATTTTATTATATTTTGCCTACATTCGTGTCTATAGCATGACAGTTCAAGTAAATATGCCAAATTATTGAATAATAATAATAATAATACTTACATGCTTATGCCTGTTACCCATCGTGGAGGAGCATAGGTCTTCCCTCAGCATTGTGCAGCCAACGCTGTCATGGGTAATCCTCTACAGTTGTTGCCAGTTGCAATTCATCCTTTTGATGTCTGCTTCCAATAATGATTATAATTAATTTACTGTTGTACTTATTGACACTTTATACTTATAAGGATTGAATAAGTATTAACTTTTTGTATAACATATTTATACTACATAATTTGATAACATGGCTGTTAATCATACTGTTTTTACATATTATATTTTATGCAACTTTACATGTAGAACTGTTCATTTTATTTGTTTGTACATAAATATGGAATGCTATCATGGTCATATTATAGGATGGTAACGATAGCTAAAGTTTTTATTGGGTAGAATTGACTTTAATCGTGTGACTTGGACTTGATTTTCTATGTGATTCCTTTCATTCGTTTTTGTAAGCTGCAAATCAAATATTTCCATACAGAGCTTAGTTAAGTTTTCCCAAAATAGTTTTTTTAAAAACTTGTAAAGGGCTATAAATAAATAATATATTTGTAATATCCCAATGAGTAGAAAATTAGATCTTCTGACGTTTCGTGACTTAGTGTAAGTCACCTCTTCGGAGAATAAATAACCAAATTAGAATTAATTCAAGTTTAATTTGGTTATTTATTCTCCGAAGAGGTGACTTACACTAAGTCACGAAACGTCAGAAGATCTAATTTTCTACTCATTGGGATATTACAAATGTATTATTTATTTATAACAATCTACCCAATGTTCAATTTATTCGAAATTATCAAATCAAACCTTGGTAATGATACTTTGTAAAGGGCTAGTTATCTTTTTTTAAAGTGGGATAAATTTGTTCAGTTTCTTCACTTGACTTTAGATACATTCATGCTGTATAGACTTATGTTAATTGAGATGGCTGATCTGTTAAGAAAAATTTTTCATTTTGGAATTAGTTTTCACAAGGAATTAATACAATAATTCACATTCTTCTGAATTTAACCAATTAGCAATAGATAGCTCTAATAATATTCATTGTTATCGATGACTTGCTGATGAAAACTGACTTCAGAATGAATTATTCCCCATAAATTAATGAACTAGACAGAAGACATATTTTCAGACTATTTAAAACGTTGTCAATGAAATATGGTTTATAAAAAATTTGATTACTTTATTTCTGAACATTATCTTAATGTAATTTACTAAATATTACATTTAATATCCTTGTTGTTGATGCCTACATAATCAATCGGTATTAATACTAATGAAATGTATATCCTACTTACTTTGTATACATTCTGTCGAAAAATCATGTAGATACAACTTAGATAATGAGAGTCAAGCACGACTTGTACGTATACTTCAAACATGCTGATGTCGAATGACAGACAAATAAATAAAAGTTCTACAAAGTGTACAAAGCTCTGGAGTTCGGTGAATAGTAAGGTGACTTAGTTTTTATAAATCATGTAAGAAATACAGGAATGGGACATGCATATACGTACTACTATTCACAGATTTAAAAAACGTGCCCAAGGTTACACAGGACTAATTAACGAGAACAAATGTATGTGTCACAGAATATCTGGAAAGATTAGAATAAATTCTGTGCAAATATTGGAGTAAGTCACTTAGGTGTGTAATGATACAAATTGTTACGTAATTTGTTAAATTTCCTTCATTCTCCAGTTAACTGTTTGACTGCATGAAATGGTTTATCTGTGACTAAAACTCCAGTGATATAACCTGTCAAGATATGATTCTTTGAATAAACAAGTCAATAAGTTGATATACGTTAGGCTTTGACCAAACTTTAATCACTTAGTCAAGCTCTTTAACCTATATTTCTTGAACAACAAGATTATTAAGTATCAAAATCAAATATTTCTCTTATCGACAAATTACTTATTATATTGTATAACTAATATAACAAATTACTACAATACTTAACTATTGTTGAAACCAAAGGTGTTTTTAATTCATGTGTTTGAATGATTCGGTTTGGTGATGAACAAGGAGCGAGCCATACTTTATTGATAATGAGGAACGTAAACTTAATTGTCTTAAAAAGAACTACTGGAAATCTGTTTTTAAGGAAATATCGAATGGAAAATATTAACTGAGTTTTGTGTCCAATAAAATTTTGTCCGAACTAATATGTTTACTAGTCAGTTTCAAACGATTTTAAGAATTCTTATTGGTAGACTAGGAAAAGTTGAAATATTCTCATGTTGACAGTAACCAATGTAGACACATTCAAAATGTAATTATTGGATGCTAACATTAATCATCTTATATTAAACCGATCTACTTACTGATCACAGAATTTCTTTTATCGTTTGATTTTATTTTTAGCCACAACATATTTCTGTGCAAGTTCAACTTACAATTGCATTGTTTTAATAATCGTTTGATTTTCTGATGCACACTTTTAACAATTGCCATAAATGAATGCTTTCTAGAGCGGTAAGGGGATAAAAATGCAATATCCATTGTAAATTATGAAAACGGTGAACATCTCTTTGAATTAATACTAGTATTTCTGGTAACAGCACAGTATAAGGATGAGTTTAAAACAACTGCGACGAATTTCCATCTAGTTTCTAGACGATCAGAAAATAGATTTTATAAATGGATAGGTTATGTAAAAGAAATGTATACAGATTTCATGAAATAAATCTATCAATGTCTTTTGAAAGTTACTTTGTTTCTAAGTCGAAGAAACAACTACATATAAACTGGTCCTCATGAATATAGACCGTCCATCTTTTCGAATACTTTAAAGAACTCCAACAAATTCTTAGGAGTCCCTACGTTGTCCGAAGTTAGAGTTAGGGTTTTCATCACGAAATGGCGTCAGCTGAAGTGAAAAAATACTCTGTTACCATATGGATGAATGAATTTCACTCGAGAATACAAAAGGCACTATCTGATTAGTTCGTCTATATAATGTACTGTTACCAGGTTAAAGTTTGTTACAGGATTAAAAGTTTAGAGTTATGATTATAGGGATGGTGTCGATTCGCCTGTTATATATAATCTACAGAAAAAGGATTGATCATTTGATGCGTTTAGTAATATCATTTTTACTCTATAGTTGCAAAAAATAATTATCTACAATCATTTTAAACGTTTTGAAAGACATACGAAAGTATTTGTACTGTTGAGTATACGTAATCTTTGAATTTCACACAAAAGCCTAAAATTTGCACTCTTGACTGTGAGTGGCTCGTCCCGGCATCATACTTTTACCGGATTTCTTATTAATATTTAAAGACTGTATCTTTATAAATTGTAATTAGAAATTGTCAACTTTGTTGCAAACTTTTCAGTTGTTCAACATGTAGACTTAATTCTGCCTGTCTGTGTTAAAGTTGGTCATCAATGTTCAGTTTTTGTCATCATCCAGATATGCATTCGTGACCAGTATTCATTTCATTAACCCAAGGGTTTACAATGTCATCTGTTATTTTTACATGTTTAGTACTCTAACTGAAGTCTCGTCAAAATTTGGGCGGGTATTTCCACAAAAAATTGATCGTGGAAGAAATTGGTTATAAATTATATCTGTAAAAATCTCAGAAATTCAAATGAAGTGCATTCAGAATTTGGTTCGGTAGTCCAATCTGAGCTTCACTATGGAAAAAGTCAAAACTATCGAAGATAGATTAGGTCGAAAGTAATTCTGACCATGGCGTAATGCCTTTGATAACCACTCTATAAGAATGACGTCCATATAGTATATTCAACATCATATACGGCTGTTCTGATATATTTTATTTCACTGAATGATTCATGTTAATACTATAAATGTGATTGAACAATTTAGTGTAAAATAACTTTGAACTTATTCTATTTTAGATAATTTTGATTATATTCTTGTAGTAAACCATATCATGCTAATAGGTGAATTGTTATAACTATTGAATTTTAATCTCTGAGACTTTTACAAATAGAAATCATACCTTTCGTATAGCGTTTATGAAAGCATCTTATAACATAGATAATATTATACAAGATTTTGTTTTAAAATGTAGACTAAATGAAATAACACACCAATATTAATAATAAGCAAATAAATTAAGTCTACGAAATTAATTGTTGACTTTCTACTATCTCCCATGAATTGTATACTCAATAATGATTATATCATATTTTGTTTATCATTAACCCAACATGACTTGTGAGCATCATAACTTTTTAAAATAGATAACGTTGATTTAGTTGTTGTCACATTGTTTTATCAATTTGAATTTAGTTGGATCATGGTTTCTCTCACCTCTTCTAAGCGGTTTGGCATCTATCGGAGTATTTTTCCTAATGCGTTTTATGGTGCTCAGAAAAGTAAGTTTTCGACTATTTTAATGCATTATATTTGATCTCATGCTCTCTTATCATAAGAAATTGGGTTAGTATTAGACTTTTAAACCAAATTTTCGAATTTGAATCCCTTACAATGTTTACTTACGAGTATGTTTTCAGAAGATCGAAACTAGTTTTGTTATTGATGGTGATAAATGTTTGCTTGTTATTGCTTATTACACAAACGTTATTATTTTCTTCTATATTTTGATAAAATTAAAGAATGAACATATCTGTGTAACTGCGATTGACTTTTGTTTATGCCAAATGTAACCTCTATCAACTTATCCTTATCATCTCGTTGTCACTTAGTCATTACGGCTACACTTCAAAACCACTGAGTTCACAAACGAATGTATTTGTCTTGGTTTGCTGACTACTTTATGAATCCTTCATACGTACTAACAATATGACTGTCTTTATCAAGATGCTGTACTCACGTACGCTCCCGAAGTAATGAGTTATGATAAGTTACTAAATGTCTGCGGATTTCTATCCCCAGCAAACATGAACATGGTTTAATGGGTTGTCTCAGCTAAATTAATTAATGCTTTGAAGGTATTAACGACTCCATACTTGTATTCGTGTTGTATTATTCCTGTTTAACAAGCATTTTTCAAATGTGCATAAAAAGGTGGTCTACCATATTTTGTTATATACATTATGGTCTGTCATCAACTCAATATTTCCGTGTTACTGTGAAGGTTAATAAGAGAGTTTACATTCAAATCATACCAGATATCTAAAATACTTTTGGGGTTATTACAATCAAACGATTTAACAATTGTCCTTGACACAATTTTATACACATGATAAAATACTTGGCTTTTATTCTTAGTGTGAGTAAGAACATTTGAATGTTAACTTCTTTTTATTGTGAATAAAATCATGTTTAACCAATGATTTTCTAGACACTTAAACTTTTGAAGCTGATAAAAGACGTGACAGTTTTCTACCAATTGACTTACTCTATTTAGACTTAAATATAAGAAAGATATTTTCTAAGAAAGATGTATTCGAATCTCTGATATCTGAATTTTATTTTTAGTGCATGGTTTTACCAGGTGTATGTGCAGAACTACAGAATACATAAATTCTTATTCTACCATCATTTTCGATTTTTGCGTTTATATATTTCTCAGTTGATCAGAGAGTTATTTGTAATAACAATCTATGTGAATTAAGTAGGTTTGAAATTCTTTATTAACTAAAAACCAAATTCATCGATGTTTCATTTTAACGTAATTGAAAACAATGTCTTAAATGAGTGATGTGCGCTTTGAGATAAAAAATAACACATTGATTTACGTTGACCTAAATGTCATATCACACTAACACGATGAGATTGAATTAACACAATGAATAGTAAATAAGTCGAAATGACGTAGTTGTAACTGTAGTGAGAGAGATTTGGCACAAAGTTAGTCAGTCAGCTACAACGTAGGATCAGGCACATATGTGCATCGGTCCAAGTTGCCATACCACATTAGCACAGCAAGATGAACACCGGATTCATAGGAGTAGTTTAGACAATGGTGGTAATACATAAAGGAAAGATTGCATATAAGGATATAGTCCAGGAAAAAAGATTTCTTACGTATAAAGAAAGGTATGAAGCAATTTTAATCTCTTAGTTTAAGGGAAGGCAGCTAGTTTATACACCTACACCATAGTGATCGGTTCTGAGCCATGTCATGGCATGAAGAATATGGTTAAAAAAAGAACAGGATGTAAAGCTTTGCGTGAATGAATTCTAGAGCTCAAAATCTAGAGGATTATACACAGTACATATATCTACGCAATTTTGACCGATTCAGATACTTCACCCAGTCTTCAGCGATTACTTGTTATTATAATACGAATCCCAACCAAGTAGTCTGCTTCTACTAGCAAGGTTTAGAAAAATACTCTATGAATACAGAAACTGATTCCATGTCGTGGTCTGGTTACCCCTAGTTTTATTCCAACTCACCCTTACAACAGGAAGTATGGCGTGTCAAAATAAACAGTGTTTAGGCATACGTAATAAATACACTAACCACCTTGGTTTATTAATATTCATAATCTCTTCAACCGACTTGTCATCTTCGCTTATTACTTGTAGTGTCGGTTGCTATTCAAGTCCAAATGGTTTATTTTAGATTCCAAACAAGCCAATCTATTTATTCTTCTTGAGTCACATTTTGACCTTGTCGATTATTCGCTTATCAACCTTGATTGTTTTTATGTAAGCGTATGTGTGTTCATTTGCTATCTTAATCACCACATGTCTGTAACTTATTATTGTCTGACTATAAATTTCTATTCACGCTTAGCTAAATAGATTTGGCTTAGACACCTTATCCACCACGCATTATTTCGTTTCGCTTCGTTTCTTTGATCATCTGTTCAGACTAAAGACAGTACGAAATATTCATATTCAGATATCCATTCTTGTATTCGACTTTTTTTTAATTACGTTATTCACCAACGCGATGCAAGTTGATGATTATATACGTGGATTGGCGACATGTACATTTCTATAACAACCATTCATCCGATCTTACTGGAGTCAGATATTGGAATATCAATTTCCTCTACGCTTAACCTCAACATCGCTCACTCGGTCATTCCATGATTTTTGAACAATACTTTGAAAACACGAATCATTAAAATTGTCCAGTTTATATGTGTCTGCTACCTTCAAGTCTGTTTTGCTTCGAGCGCGAGCACTTAACCATTAGACCACTGAGCCTGTATCCAAAGGTGGATGCGCACTGCTGAGGAGTCCCATACTAAGATGAAACGGCCGTCCAGTGCTTCCAGGTTTTCCATGGTGGTCTAGCTTCAACTGACTCATGAGTTTAATCTGTGAAAATTTCTATAATCTCCACAAACCCCTTCTGATAATAAAGATAATTCGCTACATAGTAGTTCCAAAGGTTCCGAATTCCCTAATAATCACTAGTACAATACATGCTTATAGTTTCGTCGCCCTTAAACCGTATTCAGAATAATGCAGGCTTCTTTTGAGGTTTATATTCTCAAGTTTTTCAAATCATTGGGTATAGTTTAAAAAAAAACATATCTCTCGATTAATGTGTACTTCTTTCTTACTTACTTACGCCTGTTACTCTTCGTGAAGAGGAATAAGCCGCTTACCAGCATTCTTCATCTAACCCTGTCCAAAGCAATCCTTTCCAGCTCTTTATAGTCATTATTCATCCTTTCCATATCTGATTCTGTTTCCTGACGTAATGTGTTCTTTGGCCTTCCTCTTTTCCGTTTCCTTATCACGAGTCCAAGTTAGGGCTTGCCCCGTGATTCAGTTTGGTGATTTGCGTAATGTATGTCCTATCCATTTCCATCGTCTTTTCCTAATTTCCTCTTCAGCTGGAAGCTAGTTTGTTCTCTCCCATAGTAGGCTGTTGCTGATAGTATCCGGCCAATGGATGTTGACTATCTTGCGTAGACAGCTATTTATAAATGCTTGTACCTTCTAGATGATGGTTGTAGTAGTTCTCCAAGTTTCAGCTCCGTACAGTAGAGCTGCTTTGACGTTCGTATTGAAGATTGTGACTTTGATATTGGTTTAAAGTTACTTTGAGTTCCATATGTTCTTCAATTGTAGGAATGCGGATGTTGCTTTGCTAATCCTCGCATTTATGTCTGCATCTGAACCTCCTTGTTCATCGATGATGCTTCCCAGGTATGTGAAGGATTCTACATCTTTCGGAGTTTCGCCATCAAGAGTGATTGGATTGCTGTTCTCCGTTTTCAATTTGAGGGCCTTGGTTTTCCCCTTGAGTATGTTGAGGCCTACTGATGCAGAGACTGCTGCTACACTGGCTGCCTTTATCTGTATTTGTTCGTGTGTTCGCGATAGGAGGTGTAGGTCATCTACGAAGTCCAAATAGTCTAACTGGTTCCCAGTTGTCCATTGTATTCCGTGTTTTCCCTCAGATGTCGAAATCTTCATAATCCAGTCGACCACCAGAAGAAAGAAGAAGAGAAAGAGTAGACAGCCTTGTCTGACTCTGGTCCTTACTTGGAATGCATCTGTCAGCTGTCCTTCATGCACGACTTTGCACTGTAGTCCGTCGTATTAGTTGCGGATAATGTCGACAATCTTCTCAGGAACTCCGTAGTGTCGAAGAAGTTTCCATAACGTTTTCCTATCTACACTGTCAAACGCTTTTTCATAATCAATGAAGTTGATGTATAGTGACGAGTTTCACCCGACTGATTGTTCGACGATGATCCGTAGTGCCGCAATTTGGTCTCTGCACGACCGATCCTTACGGAATCCAGCTTGTTGATCTCAAAGTTGGGCGTCTATTGCCTCTTTCATCCGGTTCAACAACACTCTGTTAAAGACTTTCCCTGGTATTGACAGTAGTGTAGTGCCTCTGTAGTTTTCACATTTGCTCAGATCTCCTTTCTTTGGAATCTTGACGAGGTGTCCTTCTTTCCAGTTCATCGGCACTTTTTCTTTCTCCCAAATTCTCTTGAATAGAAGATGAAGCATGTTTTTAGTTACTTCGATGTCTGACTTCAGTGCTTCAGCTGGTATATTGTCGGGTCCTGCTGCTTTCGCGCTCTTGATTTGTCTGATGGCCATCCTGATTTCTTCCGTCGTTGGTGGATTGACATCTATAGGGAGATCTGTGTGTGCTGCTTCGATGTCCGTTGGATTCATCGGAGCCGACCTATTCAGGAGTTCTTCCCATCTGTTCCGCTGTTGTTGAATTTCGGTGATTGGCTTGCCTTCTTTGTCCTTGACCGGTCTCTCTGGTTTACTGTATTTCCCTGATAGTTTCTTCGTTGTATCGTAAAGCTGTTTCAGATTTCCTTCCCTAGCAGCTTTTTCCGCCGTGGTTGCTAGTTCTTCCGCGTATTTCTTCTTGTCGGCTCTAATGCTCCTCTTCACTTGTTTGTTTGCTTCTATGTATTCAGCTTGTGCTTGGACTTTCTCTGCTCGTGTTCGGCTGTTGTTTATTGCT